AACACTGAGGGTTTCACAAGTCTCAGCATTCCCTGATAATATTTATGACCAACCACAGCTGAATTCCGACCAACTTGCTAACAATGTCCAGCAGAAAGTGCCTAATCACTACCAGCCACAACCGTGCATGTTTCACATTTTCACCCAGTGCAATAGCAGAACTATCAATGTTGAAATAAGTTTTACTGCAATTACAAAAAACTAACAGCAGGAATCAATGAGGCAATAATACAACTGCTTGATGAAAATATCTGATAAAGTTTTTTTTTTAATTACAATGCATGCATGCTTATAGCAGACATAAGCTGCCAATTATGTCCTATTATTTAAGGCCTATAAAATTTACTGCAGCCCAAGAAGCCAAAGTACATTCGCATTTCTTTCTTTGGCTAACCATACTACATACTGAGTAAGTGGAAATTACTCGAGCAGTAAGCTAAAAATGCTATTACAGCATAAATGTGGTACGAATCCACAACGTCACATTTACTTAGTACTGCAAAATACTTTTTTTTCTCTAAAACCATTACAAGTATCCAACTTTCTTTAGCCTGGCTGCTAGAATAAGTGCTTGGAAAACATGTAAATGACATTGGGCTAGAATTTCCAGTCTTTCCCCTCCTGGCTTATAGAAACGCAAACATTTGACAAACTGTTCATGGTTTGGCAGTAGGATTTAGGTGAGCGTGTGAATCCAGTCAATTGTCCTTTTTTACATTAAACCCGCACAACTGACATAAAGTCAATGACCTTTTTGGCTTGTGTGTAAACATAACAAATTTATGTAGGTCGGCAGTCTAATGTTTTTTAGATTGTAAATGAATGACTAAACGAATCTGATCAAGTGATGTACCTTCCAACAGAGTCTTGCAAGACTTGCAAAGGCACTTTTGTAATATGAAGCAGTCTGCTAACCATGGGAGTGTTTAGGCCAAGTCCTCTGTGGTCAATTTAAAATCAAGCAAGGAAAAAAAAAAAAAAGCCACACTCACAGCTGCGTTTTTAAATTTTTGCACAAGTGGACAAGAACAAACCAATCAAAAGGGGATCAAGTGAAAGGCTATGACACAGGACACACTCAAACACAGGAAGACACACAATAAACAGTGTTTCAAGACTCAAACAATCACACCAGCCCTCGGGGGCCATGACTGCAGCTCTGTCTGTTCATGCATGAAGGAGACTTCTGGGCAACTCTAGCTTCTGGGTTAGTATAGATCTGTTTATGTCCTCCTTATACAGTGTTGGTTCATTTGTAATGTGCTCTAACTTGCGTTTGAATTCTACTTCTGTATTTCTTTATTTAATAAGGCCTCTCCATATGACTCTCCATGTGACAACATTCCCCAATGTGTTAAACTCTATGGATCAGAGAATCATGCTAAAGCGTTACAGTGGACAGCGAGTTGTCAAAAGTTGACACAATAGTCAAACTTTAAATACTGAAATCATAACGTTCATTCCTGTAAAAAGGCCTTTGATTATTATTTTTCTTCTGGCTTGTATCCGGGGAACACTGCCATGAAGATCCTCAAATTCCCTCCAAAGCTTCTCAATGGACTACTAGATCTACTCAAACATGACAGATACAGACACTTATACACACGCAGCTTCCGTCAGCAACCCAGAAGTGCCAAAGACGTTTCTGGCAGAAAGCCACACTCCAACCACTGGTCAAGCTGAGATCAGGACATGTGTCCATTGGTACAGGAATAACAGTCTTTGGCATGGAGTAGTCAAAACGTCTTCCCATCTTCCTTTAACATATTGAGATCTTGTAAAAAAAAAAAAAAAAAAGTTTTTGTTTTATCTCAACTGAAGCTAGCTTGAAAATCAACCAGGTATTTCAACTCTTGGTCTCAGCACTGGTCATAGACAAGCTTTGCAATTCATACTCTCTTTCAGCTACGAATCCCAGTCTAGTACAAACAATAGAGGTCGACCGATATGGGTTTTTCACTGGCCGATGCCGATATTTAGAAATCAGGTCAGCCGATGGCGGATATATGATGCCGATTTTTTTGGCCGATATTTTGGCCGATTTTCTTTCTTTTTTTTTCTTCATCTCATAAAAGTGAGTTTGAGTAAATGATTATTGCAGGGTACAAGATAGTAATAGTAGTAGTAGCCTAATTCAGAGTAATAATACATGGCTCAAAACATAAGCACCTTCTCAAAACAGTTCTGAAGCATACTTTTTGTTTATGTTTGCTGACAGTCACCAGTGTTTCCCACAGAATTGCAAATGCAAATTCATTCTCCGCCAGCAGGAGGCGCTGTTGGAGCGGGAAATATAGCGGTTTCCCCGATAACGGCTGTAATCTAATAAGCAATGCGCTCACAGTCACAAACGCTACTTTATCAGGCATTACAGGAAAGACAAAATTAAAATGACATCGAAGCTTTTCTGAAGACAGTCGGTTCTTTTCAAAGATACATTCACATAAAAACACCCGCGCTGCATTTTAATTTTGAAACGTGCATTGCTCAGTTTATTCAACTAAGTATAAGCCTTTTGGGAAATCCATTTATGGCGGTGACGAGCCGCCACAAATAACTCAATGTATGGGAAACACTGGACACTGCTATAAGTCAAATGGCCAAGTGATAACAAAAATAAAGGAGTTCACACATATTACACAGCCCGCTGCTCATAACTGCTCAAGAGTGCACTGGTCACGAGCGATGACATCGTGGATGCTATTGTCGGACCTACACACACATTTCATGAGGAAAGTTAACGTGCACGTTATAATCAGCCCAGAGGTTTCGTCTGAATTGCATGTGTTTCTGCTTTCACATGCAAATGACTTGTTGCACTTATGAATATGATAACTTTCCGGCATCAATTCTAGTAGGGTAAAACGCATTTACGCTTTCGAAACGGTCTGTTTTGCCCTGCCATCATTAGCTGAAGCTGTGTGTGCCAAAAATGCCAAAAATCGGCCGGCCGATCAATCAGTCGACCTCTAACAAACAAACTTAAAATCAACATGAAATGGAATTCACAACTAGTTTTACTTCCATAATATACCATGTCCAAGTGAAACAAGATCTATTAGAAACCATTTAGATCATGAAAGAAGGGAATTAGAATGCAGTCAATTAAGGATACATCTACACTTATCTTCGTTTTCTTTCATATTTTTCTTTAGCTACTTTTTGGCCTTCTGTCCACACTGAGATGACATTTTTGTCCTATTTGAAAAAGATGTTGCATATTTAGACATGTGATTCATATTTTACTAACAGATATCTATGGCTATACCGATATTGTTGTGCATGCGATTTGCATTTTTACAAGCACGTTATACAATCTTCATATTACATTCATAAAAATATGGCAGAAAATGTACTCGAACTTGCTATCTTGTATAAAAATAGCATATTAGGCCATACATAGAACGGTGAGTTTGAGTGTGACCTGAACGCACCAGTGAGTGGTGGAATATTTTGCTAATAAAACAATAAGAGCTAGAAAAATGATGTGAGAATTTTATGTCTAGTCTCTACTAATAATATTTTTAGTAGACTAAAACTACACCTAAACTGCTATTTCTCAATACCAAGCCCATGTGGCCTATTTGACATCAGCCAAAAGGAAAGTCATCTCAAAGGCAGAACTAGTTATTGTTCTTTATCGCACAAAATATCATAATATTAATAAAGTTTTATCATTGCACAAAAATAAAAACTCTGGGAAAACGTTCAAAAATGAAATCAAACAGATTTGTAACAACATGTCTGTAACATTAAATACATATATTCCCACTTTTTCAATTGTCCTAAATGGTCACACCTTTATAGCGGCCTCTCCGATTTCATTCATCATCAGTTTTAAAGTAGATTTCCATCCTGCTACTGCCACATTATTCCCTTTTAAATAGATAACAACTCATCTACCAGGAAAGAGCTCAAACATGTCTGCAGGGTACACCCCTCATGACAAATAATGAAATTGGAACAAGCAGTTGTACAGATCAATCAACTAAAAGTGTAATGGGGAAAATGTGAAAACTACCATGCGGTGATCCATGGATCAATGGACCAAGAAGTGGACTCTTTCTTGATCAAATAAGCTTAAATTCATACAAGCTTTAGGCTACATCTTTGAGGAACATCATACCATGTGCTCAAACAAGAAGCATACTGACAAATGCCTCTACGAAAGGTTTACATGATGCATTTATGAGCAATTTATGACTTTATAAGACTGTGGCATTAACAGAGAACCAGCATTTAGGTCCAGTATGTGAAGTATTTATGGATTCCATAAAGGTATTACTTTAAAACGGTTCTTCAAGATGGCGTGAGCCAGATGCCATCATGCTTTCTCCTGCTAAAACTTTTAACTCACAGGGTCATCTGGTTCTTTCGTTTATTCCTTCAAATAAAGGTTTTTCATTCACGTATAGTTTTTGGATAGTCTCTGAGGACATCTTTTCATGTTGTTTGCGCACTTCCAGTTTCAAGTGTCTGTGTGTGTGATCACTTGAATAAATATGCACAGGAGTCTGAATGAGTGGGTAGGTTTTAAAACTATTCCATGTAACAAATCCAACTTGAGCTTAAACAAACATATTGTAGTACACTGAGACATGGTAAATAAAAAGCTTCTGCAATCCAGTGTAGGACAATACGGCAGTCATAAGACAAAGTGCTTTATGGTAACACTTTCGCATTACAATAAAGATATTGTTACATACTGTAAAATACTGTATGTTACTATAAATTATGACAAACCTAGGAATAACGTGTGATTACAATCAGTTCATTATTTCATTTCATTCAGTACTTCTTTATGTAACATTAACACTGTATCAAAGTATGACCCCCCTTTTTTTAATCTACTTTTATTTGAATGTGATATAGAGCTGCATATTTAATGCATCTTGGCCTACAACTATTTAGTATTATTGATCGCACAGTCAAGTTACATAGATTTCCTTTTTTTTTTTATACATAGATGTTTTATGTAATATAGTTATATACTGACTTACCTTTAGTTGAAAAGGATGGATCTCATTTAGAGAGTGTCTTCTGAGTTTTTTAGTAAGGGTCTTCAGCATTCTGTCTTTCCTTGATTGTTCTCAGCTTTCTTAGAGATCACGTCTTCAAATTACAGATTCATATCTGATACATAAGCTCAGGATTGATCAGCTCTTTCTAAGAACAGTCAATGAGTCTATTCAGAAATGTTCAGCTCCATGCAAACAAACTCATGCTGAAACACAAATAAACAACGATCATGAGTTCCAGTGCTAAAACAACAGCAGATCTCAGTGCACAAGGAAACAGATCTGTTTAAAGTTAAAATAAGAAAAGTCTCATAACTTGGTCTAGACATCCATTACTCTGATGAAGGTAATTTAATTAAATCGAACTATTTAATTCCTGTATTGTGTTGAATTGATCAGCGACAGTGACATTCTTCCTCAAAAAACGTTTTTAAAATCCATATGGGTAAAATCAATGTTAATCTTACTCCAAACGACAGATGGACGATGAAGCTGAAGTGTGTATAATTAAAAAAAAATCTCCATAGAATCTCAATCGCACTCATACACGCACACACTCACACATACGTATGCGCACTACACACACTACTCTCTCTAGCTCATGCTCGTCGTGGTCTCCCATTGGTTGCTTAAACCGATGATGTCATTGCGTTCTAAAAGGAGGCGGGACAGTAACATCTTAAAGGGCTATGAAGAGTTTGAACGGTTTGGGGTCAAGTGTGACTGACTACAACGTTGTATATTTTATGAATCTTTTATTTTAAGTGATATTTTAAATTCTTTTTTTATTCATATTATTTTTTTATTTTAATAATTGTGCATCGTACTGTACAAATACAAATAATGTTCTTGATGTGAAGCAGTTCTATTGTGTTGTTAGAAGCCAAATTATCTCTAAAGTTCACACAGATTTAGTGTAATTTAAAGAGACAAAACAGAAGTTTTGATAAAGCTACATACAGATTTTATATCATAGCTGTTAGGGCCTACTATTTTAGCCTATTATATATATATATATATATATATAGCCTTATATAATATTTACACAAGCTAGTCCTGAGGAAACGTTATCACTTGTTATCACACACACATACATCGTTTACAGTATTAACAGTATAAAACATGCTGAGAAAGTTCACGTTACATCACCTTTTATTATTCATTGACAGCTGCTTTAACTCCACCTACAACACATACAGATATGAATTAATTAGACAAGTAAGAATTAAAATTCGTATCTAAATCTAAATTCACCTTTATTGACCGAGTAAGTTACTCTTACAAGGAATTTGCATTGGCATTGGTGAATTGGGAAAAACAAAACATAATAACTACATATTCATAGAGTACTTTTAGAAATGTTGTTTAAATGTAAATAAAGTAGTAGTAGTAGTAAATAGTAGTAGTAGTAGTAGTAGGCCTAGTAGTAGTAGTAGTAGTAGGCCTAGTAGTAGTAGTAGTAGTAGGCCTAGTAGTAGTAGTAGTAGTAGGCCTAGTAGTAGTAGTAGTAGTAGTAGTAGTAGTAGTAGTAGTAGTAGGCCTAGTAGTAGTAGTAGTAGTAGTAGTAGTAATAATAATAAATAGTAGTTAAATAGTAATAGTAGTACATTGATCCTCTAAGCATTGTGTCTCTCTTAGCATTGTGTATTTGTTTTTTGTCTCCATTACACTTTGTTATAGTCTACTTCTTGCATTTATTACTTTTGTAAATATTATATTTTGCCTGAAGTGTAGGCCTGCTGTTAAAAGATGTTATATGACATATCAAAAAAAAAAAGAAACGCACACACAACAAAAACGCAAGGAACCACATTCAGAACTGTTAAGACATTGAGTTATTTTTAATAATTTGTTTGATCACTTTTTGTACATATATATTTTTATTGGGTTGCTGTAATTAATTAATTAATTCATTCATGTATGTCATGCCATGTTATAAGGCTTCTGTATCAGTTCCACAATCCACATGAAGAAGAAAATGTAGGAACACAATATGACCACTAGAGAGCACTGTCTTTTTAAAAATGAATGCATTGCACGTGGCTTTTTGTCATGTTGCTAGTCAGAAGAGCTATTGATAAATCATATACAACTGTTTGAAGCCAGGAATTAGTTATTTTTGAAGAGAGGTGTGTGTTGAAATTATTGTTTTGAGTTAGAATTACTCATTTGCATGGTGTTAAAATTTCTACAAATTATCTGCCAAACTCTGAAAGAACTAAGCACTCTTAAACCGTCATTTAAAAAAAAATAAATACAAAATCATTTTGATGATCTCAATTTCGGAGTTTGTCAATAGAGCGCGCCTTGTGAGAAAAGCTCCAGCAAGAATAACAGAGGTTATGTATTTGTATGCGTGTATGCATGTACTATGTAGTATATAGAGTGTCAGTAAATATTATTTGTTGTGTGTATATATTTAAGAACTGTATAGTTGAAAATTGCGTTTTGTTATGAAAGAATACAAATATATAGGTATGTACATTATAGGTATGAAAATTGTGTGTCTATTCTACACACAATTTTCATTTTTCTAATGTTAGCTAATGCTCAGTAATTAATGCTAGTTAATACAGCATGTCAATGTTAATTTGTGCATATTACTAACATTTCAAGTAAGCTACATTAATGTAAAAGTTATAAATGAACATGAATTTACAATGTACACGCATAATATTCAGATATAGCCTACAACTAATGTACATAATATATTAACTGATGCACTTAATGTTCACACACACACACACACACACACACACACATATTCATGTTGTAAGTAATATTTATTTTCCCATTTGCTGAGAACATTACTTTTAGCCTGCGTATTAGTCATCATACCCAATAAATGGCAACAGCAAACTAGTGAGTACTTGAGAGTACACGTCCAATGTGATGACGTTTAATGTTCCTGACGACCTCTGTAGTCCTATTTAGCCACTTTTTCAAGACAATTAAAAGCTTTAAAATGGGGTATTACTGATGTATTATTTGTAGAAAAAAGTAGTATATATATATATATATATATATTAATGATGTCAAAAGATTCATTAATTGATTAATCAAAGATTTTGTTTAAATAATATATATGTGTGTACTGTGTATATTTATTATCTATATATAAATACACACACATGCATGTATATATTTCAGAAAAATATGCTATGTTTATATATTAAATGTATTTATATATAATATGTGACCCTGGAGCACAAAACCAGTCTTACGTCGCTGGGGTATATTTGTAGCAATAGCCAAAAATACATTGTAAAGGTCAAAATTACTGATTTTTCTTTCATGCCAAAAATCATTAGGACATTATGTAAAGATCATGTTCCATTAAGATATTTTGTAAATGTCCTACTGTAAATATATCAAACTTATTTTTTGATAAGTAATATGCATTGCTATAAGAACTTCATTTGGACAACTTTCTTTGGGCTCCCTTTGTGCCAAACAGAACTAAAAAAAACCTGCTGACATGTGGAGCGTTGTGACCTTCACACCCTTGTTGCAGTACACAAACGCTCTCAGCCTACTTGTCCTGAACGGCACTGACTTTCCAGGTGCACACAGCCCACACCGCCCACCGCTCTCTGGACCAGTTCAGCCCGTCTCTTCCTCCTCTGTGGTCTGCCTCCCTCTCTCACCCACTGATCCACTGGCGGAAAGCGTGGGCACTGTGCGTCCAAGAGTCCGCTTTTAGAATGCCAGATGGCTATTTTCTTCCCCAAGCACTCTAAAAAAGGATAGACTTACATAAAACTACCACTGCTAAGAATGCTGGTCCATGAGAGATCTTTAGAGAACAAAGGAAGCACGTCTCTATCAATCAAGTAGGCTACTTCATACAAACAACACATGCAAATGTGTGAATTTACAGCAGAGATGAGTCACTTTAAAAAAGATCTTGTTCATGATGATGTGTGAATAAAAAAATAAATAAAAGCCACTGAGCCACCCACTTTGAACACACTGTCATATGGATCTAATGGTATGTGATTCAAAGACAGCAAAACATTAGGTAACTTTTTCCATTTTAACACCAAAGTCAAATGTCAGTGATATTTATAGCACAAATCACGACTTGCACATGCAGATGTTGCCATGATGTGATATACATAGTTATATGACTTTTGTTAAAGTGTGATGACATTGCTGGTGACAGGAAATGACCATATCCTCTTGGAGAATGTGTGGGTGTGCGTATCAGCATACTGCTTGTCTCGAAGGTTACAAATTAAAGCAATGTCAGCTTTGGTTAAAAATAATGTGCAGTTGTGATGTCTAAGTGCATGCCATAAAATAGAGTCCTGTGTAGCAAAATGGAAACTGTTGGGAAAATGGAAATATTTTCTTGGATGGCATTAAATTGACCTTCTAATAAAATGATTCAGAGCAAGTTTCTAAAATGATTCAGAGCAAAGGTTGGATTGTTCCAATGATCTCAGAGCACAGGAGTGATTAAATATTTCATGCTGTATTATTTAATCGATATTAAGCTATTATCAAGAGCAGACTATGTGGTATGTCAAAAGATCTGTTGTGATTTCAACATCATCACTTTTAAGTTTCCATTAACTTGATTACATATATATATATATA